ACAAATTAAAATAAAAGGCCAAGCTGCAAAAAACTTACTGAAGCTGCTGTAGATCCAGGAATTTGTTTTGCAATGTCTTCAAATGTTTTGGAAAAAGGGCCGTGTGCTTTAACACTCTCTAACATTACTCTATCCATATCCCTGGCATCAAAAAGTAAAATTCACTTACACAAAAATCACATGTTTAAATTGTGGCATTTTAAAGACCTACATGAATAAAACAGATTTAATGGAATCAATAGTGTTATTGCATATGCGATAGTTGGCAATAATTTTATCTTAAAATTAATGGTATATTTCTCAATATGTAATTGTCTTTTGACTTCTCAAAATAAAAAATATTTTATAGTCATTTCTAACCTTGTCCATTCAATCTGTGGTGTTGCAGGAGTTGTCTCTCTTTTCTCCACTGGTGCATCTGACGCCTCAGTGGAACTAGGACTTGCTTTAGGTTCTTCTTGACCAAATCCAACAACACTGGAAATAATGTTCCCAGATGGAGAGGCCACATTCTGGTTTTTACTCAGTTTTAGTTTCAGACCTTGGCCAGCTGAAGATCCCGATACAGACTCCTCTGTGGAACACGACTTTGGATTTGGGCTTACTTTTATAGACAGATTAGAATTGTCATTGTGGAACACTGGGGAGTTTGTGTAGGCAATAACAGGGCTAGAGGCTGAGGGACTTTTAAGGAATTCAACATTGTCTATGCTGGACAAGGAAAATGCAGGCGAGACACAACTTGTTTTTGCAGTGACTGGTTTGGGTACTATTCTTCTTTTCTCACTTAATTTCTTCTTCTGTCTATCTGTAGGACTAAAGTCTAATTGTTTAGCACTTGATAAAAAGCTTTTTTCTGAATCTGACTTCTCTACATTTTTGGCCATATTCTTAGTCTCTTTTGTCTCTTTTTCAGATACTATTGAAAATCCAAAATTAGTTGAAGACACCGAGGTTTTTATTGGACTAGATGTACTCTGTGGTTTGTTGCCTAATTGTGAGGAATCTAACGTCATAGACACATCTGACTGACTTATCATGGCCTCGTGTAAAGCCTTGGCAAGCAAGTCAGAACAAGAACTGTCTCTGTTTTGAGAACTATGTCCATCCATGGCAACCTCCTCCATAAGAGCTGGGAGGGGTTTTCTAGGTGACAAGTTAGCACTTTCCACCCATGAACTGATGGTGAATTCTCCTTCAGAATTCTTCTTTGGTGTGGTTTCAGTGTTTGGGATGGATATTATGGCCCCTGCGAAGTCCTCATTGCTGTCTGCTGTGACGGTCACTTCCACTGACCTGGGTACTTTGGACAGTGGAGACGTTTCCTCAACCTTCTCCACTGCTCCCCCAGGATTTGTTTCCTCTTGCCTTCGTTGGTCCTGAGGGGGGATCAGATCAGGTAGACCACAACCAAGCTGAGATTCCTCTGAGTGGTCTGTACTTTCCAATCCTTCAGTTCTTAGCACTGAGACCGATTCCCTGTCTCCACTCTTCTCACCATCTTCAGTCATTTCCTGTGGCTGACTGGACGTGGAGGGAAGGTTATCCAGGTCAGAAATCTGGTCCCCAGTTTCTGTTGAAACACTTGTAACTGTTTTCTTGACAGGAGAATCAGCCATTTCTTTGATAGAAAAGAAGCGCCCCTGTTTCCCCTTCTTTCTGCTAGATATCTTAAGCTGAAATAAAAGATCACCATAAAGTTTTTGTTTGCAAAGATCTATAACCCTATTGTTACATGCAGAATAATATAAACAAAATACCAGTTCCAGAGGATTTTGCTTTGTTAAATGCATAATTTGTTAATAGTATATCCCCTCAGCTTAAAATATATTTTGAAAACCAGGGGAATTAATATCACTTTGCTAAAACAATTCATTATCGGTGTGTTCAATATAAATGTGTGTTAATGTATTTGAAATGCAATTTGTTTAGCAGCATTATAAATACTTCCCATTTGTATATATTCCAATGTTCTTTGGGCTTCTATGCTTCTGTATTCTTTGGTTGCTTGATCTGTAGGTTTAACTTTATTTCTAAATTTCTTTGTCATCTGAACTGTATGCTAACATTTATTTATCTCATTCTTCGTCATGTGATCTGTCAGTTTACCTTTTTCTAACGTTCTTTGGTCGTCTGATCTTCATTTTTATTCCTACATTCTTTGGTCCTTTACCTTTATCCCTACATTCTTTGGTCCTTTACCTTTATCCCTACATTCTTTGGTCCTTTATCTTTATCCCTACATTCTTTGGTCCTTTACCTTTATCCCTACGTTCTTTGGTCCTTTACCTTTATTCCTACATTCTTTGGTCACCTGATCTGATCTTTACCTTTATTCCTACATTCTTTGGTCATGTGATCTGTATATTTACCTTTATTCCTATGTTCTTTGGTCGTCTGATCTTTATTTATCCTACGTTCTTTGGTCATCGATCACCAACATTTACCTTTCACCACTCTCTGAAACTACGTTCTTTATGTTAAAAAGTCATCTGATCTTTATTTATTTTGCCAAATAGAGCTAGTTCTTTGGTCAACTGATCTTTATTTATTCCTATGTTCTTAGGTTGTCTGATCGTTACCTTTATTCCTATGTTCTTTATTCCTATGTTCTTTGGTCGTCTGATCTATATTTATTCCTACATTCTTTGGTCATGTGATCTGTACATTTACCGTTATTCCTACGTTCCTTGGTCACCTGATCTGATCTTTACCTTTATTCCTACATTCTTTGGTCATCTGATCTTTATTTATTCCTATGTTCTTTGGTCGTCTGATCTTTATTTATTCCTACGTTCTTTGGTCATCTGATCTTTATTTATTCCTATGTTCTTAGGTTGTCTGATCGTTACCTTTATTCCTACGTTCTCTGGTCATCTGATCTTTATTTATTCCTACATTCTTTGGTCGTCTGATCTTTATTTATTCCTACATTCTTTGGTCATCTGATCTTTATTTATTCCTATGTTCTTAGGTTGTCTGATCATTACCTTTATTCCCATGTTCCTTGGTCGTCTGATCTGTACGTTCTCTTTCTCTGCTCCCTCCTCATCTTCCTCCCACTGGGATGGTGTCATCGGTTCTGTCTTCACTCTCGTCTTCTCCACCTCCTCCTCTTCTTCCTCTAGGCTGCTCAGAGGTTTAACTTCGGGGTAATACTTCACCCTCACTTTCTTTATGACTTGTCTATTGATCCTGTAGTATAGCTCTCCATCAATTACCTAAACAAGGGAAGTTTAATATTACTGTATTTTGTTAGTTTTACTGTATTTACAGTATTATTATTTCTATTACTGTATTTTGTAATCAAAAGTAAATATTTTATATAATTTTATTCCCCTCCATCTTTATACATTATTGAAATTAAATTATCCTCCGTAATATTTAAAAGATTTCTGTAAGTGATATGATAAAGTTTTGCTTAAATTTCCAAGTTTACCCATTAAAAAAGCAGTTAATATGTACCAAACATTAATTTTTTAATGAAAATTTTTTAAGTTTGTTTAAATCTCAGAATATAATACATGTACCTTCAAACAACAGTTTGTACAGTGAATATTCCTCATGTGGAAGTTTTTAGCATTGGGATTTTGATGACAATTACACATGCACTTCTTAGTTCCATCAGGATTTTCATCTTCTGGAATGACCACTTCCTCAAAATCATCAAACAGGAACCCTTCGTCTTCATCACTGTCTGCCAGAGTTATCTCCTCAAAATCGGTCATATAGCTGTAATAACAAGTCAATTAATAATCATGTAAATTCTTCATATACCTGGTATAAAAAGTATATATGTATTCACAATTTTTCAAATATTTTGTTAATGCCCTTTAAGCACTATGACTACCTGTCAGGGGGCTTTTCATCCTCAAAAAAGAGGGACAACTCATCCAGGAGATGTGGTTGGTTCTTCAGAACTTGTTCCAGGGATTCCTTCAGCGCTTTCTCCTCCTCCTTGGAGCCACCTGGGGCCCACTTTGTCAGCAGTTTCATGGTTTTCTGATATTGAGATGGATGTCTCTCAGCGTATACCTACAACATTCATATAAATACACCATAATGATTAATTGTTCTTTTATATCAGTGTGTCTGTTGTCCTGTTCATTTAAACAGTGTTACAAGGATTGGCCAAACTAAATCTTTTTATTCAAAATCAAAGTGGGATGCATCTCAATGCTAAATTGCATATTCTTTATAAACAATCAACACTCGAGGCAATCAGTTATCAAAATAGTTGTCAGTTGTACACTCAGACAAAGACTTACCCCATAATTCAAGTACAAAGGCCCTGGCTCTATACACTCAACTCTAAACTTATGTAGGAAGGTCACATAGGAAGGTCTTGGCCCTGTACGCACCTGTTATTTATGTATGACGGTTCTGGCCCTGTACACTCACCTCTAACATAACTATGTAGGAAGATCCTGGCCCTATACATTTGCCTCTTATTAATGTACAAAGTTCTTTGTCCTATACAATCACCTCTAATTTACGTAGGATGGTCCTGGCCCTATACATTTGCCTCTAATTTATGTAGGAAGGTCCTAGCCTCCTACACTCACCTCTAATTTATGTAGCAAGGTCAAAACCCTTTATACTCACCTCTAATTTATGTAGCAAGGTCAAAACCCCGTACATGACAATTTAGCCACATATGATCCACATATGCATTGTCTTTCATATGAGAATCATATGTATATACAATCATATGAGAATCATATGTGGCAAATCATATCCTTTCATTTCGGTTACAGGTTCGTATGAATTTATGTCTATAATACTCTCATCAATTGTAATTGTTGAATTAATGCAATTCGCAAACCTACATAATGTTAGTGATCTTTAGATCTAAGTATAAACTATATTTTGGATAAATTTGTTTCTCATTGGATGTAAACATTACAATTTACGTGTTAGGCTAAAGGTATTACTTTGTTTTCATTTTGTTTTGACTTTGTTACGTACTGATTTGAAAGTGAAAGTAGAAACCCTGTATAGGATTTGGCGTTTTGTATGTTGAGATCGTTATCAAGTCGATTCGTTCATCGACTAAATGACAAATGTTTGTTTTTATGGCATATAGATGCATTCAACAACTTGAGTTCAGTGTCACAGTGCTGCTTTTTTATGAAGTCCACGAAGCCCAAAGCTGATAAGACTGGCGATTGATCCTAAAGCTGATTCTGACAGACGATTGCACCATCACAATATTAAAGGTAAAAATATTGCAATAAAAATTGAAAGTGTACATCTGTAATGCCTCCTTTATGACAAAATATTTCTTGATAATTTCTTGTTGTTCCTTTATAATTCTACATTGTTTGCACAGCTTCATCAAAAATAAATTCAACTCAATAATATAGAAGTTTTATTCTACATTATGAAACAATTTTAATTGTAAATGCACTTTTTAAATATGGAAAGTATGAATAGAATTTTTTTGCTTTAAAAGCTATGAAACTATACAATTACTTAAGGGGGTAAATAATGAATTTTTGAATTTCAGCAAAAAATTAATAATAACAGTGGCAACTTTCAAGGTACAAATACATGTGAATGTGACTATGTTTTGAAAGTACATCAGATAGCTAATCTATTGAATATTTACATCTATGTATTCATTGACATTTATAATTTTTTTCCAACACTAGAGAACCTAGTTTCAAGTAAATTGTAAGATATTTAGGACAAACAAGAAATCTGTGATCCAATGCTCACTAGTAATACCCCCGCTCTGATGTAAATAAGCACTATCATGTTAATATATATACACAAGTTCAATAACAGGCAGATGCACAGAAAAATACATGTATGAAGTTGACATCAGATTCATATCAAAATTAATCCCACCATTTGGCATGCTTCAACAAAGGGTGTAATAAAATTTCAAGCATCTGCTATGAATAGCTAATGAGAAAACTGCGACGAAAATTTGTTATGTGTGAAACAGACAGATGCACAGACAAACAGGAAGTTGATATCCGATTTGAAAAAAAAATGTATCCCAAGATATGGCATGCCTCAGAGAAGATTGTGTTAAAATTTCAAGCATCTACAATGAGTAGTTGCTGTGAAAACTGTGACGAAAATTTGATATGTATGAAACGGACAGACGCAGAGACAAACAGGAAGTTGACATCAGATTTGCGAAAATGTATGAAACTATGGCATGCCTCAGAGAAGATTGTGTTTAAATTTCAATTTTTGAATTTGCAAAAAATTAACGAAAATTTGTTATGTATGAAACGGACAGACGTACAGACAAACAGGAAGTTGATATCCGTGTTGAGCGAAAATGTACATGTACCATATGGCATGCCTCAATCCAGATTGTGTTAAAATTTCACATCTACGATGAGTAGTTGCTGAGAAAACTGTGACGAAAATTTGTTTCGGACGGACACACAGACACACGGACAGACACACAAGGGTAAAACAGTATACCCTCCTCTCCTTCTGAGAGGGGATATAGTAAGAACCTACAAACTTGTTCTCTCTCTTTTTGTAGTTTAAGTTTTAGTTATGCTTAGAAAATATTTACTTTGTGAATATTTGTTTTACAGGTTCAAAATACAGTCAGCCTCTTATAAGAAAAAATCCAAAGATCCAAGGCTTGATTCAAAGTTAAGGTAACTACACACTGTTTAATAGACTTTGCTACATACTTCCCAACAAAGTCTGGGATATCCTTGAATCACAAAGTCTGTTTTTTTCTGCCTATTTGTGCCAGAATCTTCTTAATTTTTGGCAATTTGAATTAATATATACTATTTGAACATTCCAAATTCAATTGTCAAATAAAAAATTGTTTTTTTAATGATTTTAATATGAAGCATATCTTCCAAAAGTGTAATTGTCTTGCAAAATTCAATTCAATTGTCCAAATAAAAAAAAAATGCTTTTTATAATTTTATTATGAAGCATATCTCTAACAGTGTAATTGTCTTGCAAATTACATCATAGGATTCCACAAAACACCTTGTATAACATATACATGTATAACATTAGTTTTATCTCGTATCAAATCTGTGTCGGTGAATTGGGAATACATTTGTTTGCTGATGATAAGTTACTTTAATATAACTTCACTTGTAGAATTGATTTTGTAATTTTAGAATCATTTTATTTTTATTTTTGAAATTTTTGTAGAGACCATTTTTCTGTGCCACAAAGAAATTGTTTAGGAAGAGGAGAACTGGTGGATTTGCATTTTTGGTACAGTTCAAAGAGATTTTCAAAATGGTCAGATTAGAGGGAGGACAGCTGAAAATAATAGAGATACAGAAGGAAAAAGAACAAGGAAATATATGGAATAATTATGAAATGGGAGGATGTACACAATTTTGTCTGAATTTGACCTGTAAAGATTTCCCATTTTATATGTATGCTGGAATAACAAATAATTGGATTTTCCATAAATTTATAATAGAGAATACATGACAAATGTTATTGCTGATGTTTCAATTTTGCTGTGGACACCTTCATGTCATATGGTATTTTTGTACAAGTATATGACCTAATCATGTTATTCATTTGTACATGTATACATGTTCAACTACTTAATCATTTTGCTGAAATCTTATAATTTGTACTCATTTTAGAATATGTTAAATACATGTATCGACAAATGCTACTGACTTGTTTGTATATTTTCTTGTTTAGAATGTACACTGTGAAAAATAAGTTATTTCTCTTGATGAAAATAATTTTATCAAAAAAGTTGTGTAAGCATTATAAGATATTTTAAAATATGTAACCAATGAAGATAGATCATTGTAATGTAATGAATTTTCATCTAAATCAGAAATATCTGATTTTTAAATGTGTACAAGAATGTGAAAAATATTGAAAGAGAACACACATAAGTGTTTCATATGATTTACATATGATGCCCTTTTCATATGATTCTCATATGTAAATGGCTTGAAACACACATAAATGTTTCATATGATTTACATATGATGCCCTTTTCATATGATTCTTATATGTAAATGGCTTGAAACACACTTAAATCATTCATATGAAAATCATATGTAGTTATTTTCATATGATTCACATATGTGGATCATATGTAAATCATATGATTTGCTTCATATGATTCACATATGATGCCCTTTTCCTATGATTTTCATATGAAACCAATCATATGAGAATCATATGATACTCATATGAGAATCATATGTGGCTAAGTTGCCTGTGTATACTCACTTCTAATTTACGTAGGATTGTAGGAAGGTTCTGACCCTCTTCACTCACCTCTAATTTACTCGGAAGGTCCTGGCCCTCCTAAAGCGGAGGTTCTCCATAAAGCAGCCACACTCCACTGCCTGACTGGGAGAGAGAGAGAGAGAGAAATCCTCCACCAGGTCAGGGAAATTCCTCAACAGCACCTTCATTTCTCTGTACAGCTGTATATATAAAATCAATGTTTTATTCATGATATCAATGTTATAGGTATAACAACACTGATTTTTTTCCCCCATCATTAAGCCCAACAAAGCTTTTTTAACAAAGCTGATGAGTGATGGACAAGAATTAAATTTATATTCAATAAAAAATTAATTTGTCAGGGTATAAACTGTAAACCTTAAAGTTTAAACTACAGTATACTATAATTTTACTTTAATTGGAAGTGCAAACTGATATATGGTTGTTTTAAAGATGCCCACTACATGGCAAAGTATTGTAGTTGTTGGCATACCATCTACAGAATGAAGATCCTTAAGTTTGAAATTATTTTCTTTTTTACATGATATTAAGCTGTTTGTGTGACCAAGTTACTTGTCAAGTTCAGGTTTAATTTAGCATGAAAAGGTGGATGGACCTTGAGAGTAAGTGTCATTTGAATATCATTAGTTGTTCCACATACTCTCAAGATATGAACTATGTTTCAAATATGCATTTAACTTGTTCCACATTATCATTTACTCTGAACAAATTTGAAAAAAAGAATTTCATTTTTTTTTTCTTTTTTTCAATAATAAACCTTGTATGTCCTCTTTAAAAAAAATTTAATCCAAAGAAAAATACCTGGGTATTTTACTTTTCCTTTAAGAGTCACATTCAAAAGAATGACATTACTTTGAAAATGGTTCCAACCTTTTTGAAAAGAATTTAAATAAAAATTTTCATACAATCAATTTCTAACAGAAACATAAGATTTTAGCTCACCTGAGCCGAAGGCTCAAGTGAGCTTTTCTGATCACATTTTGTCCGTAGAACGTCCGGGTCAAGTAAACTTTTCACATTTTCGACTTCTTCTCAAGAACCAATAGGCCAATTTTAACCAAACTTGGTACAAAGCATCCTTGGGTGAAGGGGAGTTTAAATTGTTAAAATGAAGGGCCAAGTCCCCTTACATGTTTGTAGAAAAAAAAAAGACAACAAGAGGCCCATGGGTCACATCGCTATCCTGAGAAGATTTGACCATTCTGTTCTTTATTATTTTTCCCCTTGTAATACATATTGTGACCCCACCCTACCCCACTAATCATAATTTAGACAATTGAAAATCTACA